GTGTATTCTGAATTTTTCAATTTTTTGAAGGAGGCTTGGATGGCTTTGTATTTCCCCCTTAGGACAACCTTTGCTGTACCCCATAGGTTTTAGACCAAAGTGTCATTATTCTCATTGGTTTTCATGAATTGCTTAAGTCCCTCTATGATTTCCTGGTTGATCCAAGCATTCTTAAGCAGGGTGGTCTTTAGCTTAAAGGTGTTTGAATTCCTTCCAAACTTTTTCTTGTGGTTGAGTTCCAGTTTCCAAGCATTGTGATCTGAGAATATGCAGGGAATAATCTCAAACTTTTGGTATTGGTTGAGCCCTGATTTGTTACTCAGTACATGGTCTATTCTGGAGAAGGTTCCATTTGAACTTGAAAAGAATGAGTATTCTGTTGTTTTAGGGTGGAATGTTCTGTATATTTCTTTGAGGTCCATATGGTCCAATGGGTCATTAAGTGCTCTTGTTTCTTTAATGATTTTCTGTTTGGATGATCTTTCTATTACTGAGAGTGGCATGTTTTGATTCCCCACTATTAAGGTATTCATGTCAATATGACTCTTTATCTTGATTAAAAGTTTTCTTATGTAATTGGCTGCTCCCATATTGATGTCATAAATATTTAAAATTGTTAGATCTTCTCGGGGGATAGTCCCTTTAAGAATGATGAAGTGTCCTTCCATACCTCTGACTACAGTCGTTAGTTTAAAATCTCATTTATCTGATCTGAGAATCCCTACCTTAGCCTTCTTTTGAGGTCTATTGGCATGAAAGATGCTTCTCCATCTCTTCCCTTTCAGTCTGGATGTATCCTTAGGTTCAAAATTGATGTCTTGTAGACAACATATGGATGGGTCCTGTTGTTTTATCCTTTCTGCAACCCTGTGCCATTCTATGGGTGCATTTAGGCCATTCTTGTTGAGAGTGATTACTGAGAGATACATTTGTATTGACATCGTGTTACCTGTGAAGTCGTTGTTTCTATAGATTGTCTCCATATATTTCTGTTCAATGATATTCTTGGGTTTTTTTTTCCCTCATTAATAGAATCCCCTTTAATATTTCTTGTAGTGCCGGCTTGGTGGTCACATACTCTTTTAAGCCTTGCTGGTCTTGGAAGCTCTTTATCTCTCCATCCATTTTGAATGTCAGTCTTGCTGGAAAAAGTATTCTTGGCTGCATGTTCTTCTCATTTAGTGCCCTTAATACACCTTGACAGCCCTTTCTGGCTTGTCAGGTTTCTGTGGACAGGTCTGACATTTTTCTGATGGTCCTTCCCCTGTATGTAAGGAATCTCTTTCCCTTAGCCTTTTTCAAGAGGTCCTATCTAAAATTATGATTCATCATTTTCACAATCAGGTGTCTCAAGGTCTTTCTGGATTCTATGATCTTGGGGGTAAACTTTTCTGCCTCCAGGACACAAACACTTGTTCCATTAGCCAGATTGGTAAAATTTCTATGGGGAATTTGTTTAACTGTATCCTCTAGTCTTCTTTCTTTCTCCTCCCCCTCGGGGATTCCAATAATTCTGATGTTGGAATGTTTCATGGTGTCATTTATTTCCCTAATTCTTTTTTCATGGTTTCTAACCTGTTTGTTCCAAGCTTCCTCCTGATCCTTTTTCTCTATCACTTTATCCTCTAGAATACTAATTCTATCTTCTGCCACAGTTACCTTAGCTGTTAGAGAATTTAGATTAATTTGTAACTCATTGAGAAAATTATTAACATCTTCCCTGGTGGCTTTCTCTTCTGCCTAAATCAATTCCATATGGTCATTAAAGGCTTTCTCCAACCTAGCCATTGCCTGAATAATTTTTAGCCTGAATTCCCTTTCCCACATACTGTTTATGTCCATATCCAATAGCTGTGATGGAGAGGGCACAGTCTCTGAATTTTTCCTCTGATGGGCATTCCTCCTAGTTATTTTGGTGAGAGAAGGTTAAGGGGATGTGTAGCCCAATGTATGATCTCTGGTGCCAGCAAGGTGCACTCTGGAAGGCTTCTGAGCAATAGGAAGTCCCCACCAAAAAGGAAAGAAAAAAGAAAAAAGAGAGAGATTGAGAGAGAGAGAGAGGAAATAAAAAATAAAATAAAATAAAATAAAATAAAAGGGAAGAACCAGCCCTAATGGACCCTAAAGGTAAGATTTATAAAGTATACAAACAAAAACAAACCAACAAAAAGACGGAGAAAAGTAAATGACAAGAAAACAAACAAACAAACAAACAAAAACAGCCAAAATTAACCCAAAGTATAAGAATGATATACTACCAGAACAAAAACAAATACACAGAAACACTGACAGAAGAAAAAGATGGGTTTGTGTGAGGAAGGATATTTTTATTCTTCCTGGGTGTATCTTTATATCTTTGTCAAAGGACTCAACTTTCCTGAGATAAAGGGGATTACAACTGGTTTATATAGAGAGGTAGCATTGACTGGGGAAAGGGGATTTCCTTGAACCTTATCTCTATATAAATATTTTTTAAAAATAGAAAAGCAAAAGGAAAACAGGAGCATATGTACCAAAAGAAGTTCAAGTTAAAAGGTTATTATGGAGTTTGTTGTACTGAACACCTCATTGTGGTGGTAAATAAGATAAAAATCATTTAAAAAATTGAAAAGAACGATAATAGTGGGAATGAATTAAGAATAAAAGTTGTATCTATGAAGTAGTAGTCTTTGTTACCTGGTTTTGTTTTGTTTTTTCTTTTGTTTTCGTTTTTTGTTTTGTTTTATTTTTGTTTTTGTTTTTGGTTTTTGGCTGGATATCTGGGGAGGGGCCTGCCACATGTTTTTTCAGGCAGTCTAGCTAGCATTGAGTCCTCCTGCTGGCGATCAAGGGGCTGGAGTCTGAGAAAACCAGTTTTTCAGGCTTTTGTTCTCTGGAGGATTTTGTGTTTTGTTTTGTTTCCTCCCTTTGGCGACTTTTGGTGGTCCTTTGGAGGTTTAGAGGAAAGCAGACTACACCCAGACCTCAATCTCAGAGAGAAGCCTCGGTCTGTTCCCCTCTGGGTGCTCCAGAGCATATAAACTCCCCCTCTGCCACTGGCAGAGCACATCTCCAGTCACAGTCTCAGAGGTCATAGGAGCTCCCACTTTTACCCAAAACCATGAGAAGTACTAGTCCAGAAAGCTGGCTTTCAGCAGCTCAAACCACAGCCTGTCTGGGCAGGTCCAGACTTCCAGAGAGGTCCCAACAGTAACACACTGAGATTTTCACACCAGCCCAGGCTGGGAGTGTTCAGACTCTCCTGGTCCTAGAAAGCACTGGCTAGCTCCTGCAGGGACCTATCTCAGGGGAGGGTGTGGAGCACAACTCAGACCCAGTCACATAGCATGCCTGCAGAGTGCAAAAGGCTGTGGTTCTAGACAGTGCTGGCTGGTGTCCACACCAGACTCTCTCAGGCATGCCTCCACACAGAAGCTCTCTCCCAGCTACTCAGGGACCAACACCTGACTTCTTCACCACACTGGGTGTGGCTCAGTGCCAGCAGTGGCCATCCTGGGTCCGTGGGCTTAAACCCCTGTCCCTAAAAGCCCGATTCACCCAATTTCCCCTTAAAATCATTTGCTCTTTTTGAGTGCCTTAAACCATACTCCAAGTTAGTGTTGGTCCCCAATCACAGGACACTCTCTTATTGGGGCATTACTTTCCAATAGGTCACTTCTGGTGGCTCCCTCCCCCTTTTGTTTATCTTCCAATATTCCGTCCAATGTTCCCATTCTGCATACCTGTCCACTGGCGTCTTCTGCCCTGTAGAGATCCAGAAGTGTATAATTCTAATATCAGGCTGATTTCATGGGTTATCAGAGTTCTTTGGTAGATAATCAGCTCACTTTAGGGGGCCAATTGAAACAGCACCTCCTATTTCTCTGCTATCTTGTCTCCCTCCCTATCTGTACTTGCATTTTCATACTAACATTGTCATTGAGTTTGTTTGTTTGCTTATTTCTATTTTTTGTCATTGAGTTTAAATAACCTTACTAAAAAGAGTTTTGTATAAAGGAACACATACCCTTTTAAAGTGCACTGTTAGCTAACTGGTGACTGATACATAAACTCTGTCACCGAATCCCTATCAGAGTTACTGAAGCTGTCATTCCTTCCCTCCTAGAACTTGGGTATCTTGGCCATTTTTGTTCTGAGGTCAATGCCACATTCAGCTTCCCTTGTCAGAGCTACTGCAGACTTGTGTCCGTGTGCTGGGAAGACATACCTTGGGAGGGAATCACTGCCCCCAGTGTGTGCAGAACTGTTGTTTCACACACATGGATAGAATGACAAAGATTTTTAGTTTAATTCCTCTAAGAACACACACAACTCTGTCTACCCACAACCTGAACAGAAACACTCCTCACTTCAGTGATTTAGGAACCTCAGAGGAAGGAGAACTCTGGAAAACAGGGAGGCATCACATGATGGGGAAGTACACAGAATCCTCCACAGAGGGGGCCTTGTGTCCATTGGTACCCATCACTTATCTAAACATGATCCTGATCAATGTGAAATTTTGGTAGAGAATCCAGTCTACCTATCAACCACACAGGGAGCCATGGGCAAAGTGTCCCTGAGGTGTCTCAGTAGAGCATAAAATCTGGCATGAAGCTTTGGAGGGACAATAGAGGGACATTTGTCCTGGCCCTAAGTGAGGGGATAGTGTACAGAGCATCGAGGTAGCAGGAGCTCTCTCTGTGGGGTTTTGTTCACCATTTCACACAATGATGTGTTTGAGTCTGGACACCAGGGGGCACTGGGGCCCATTTCTGAGGAGTCAGAATGAATAAGAGCTTGGTCTTGCCATCTGGCATTGCTGCCTGTACCCTCTGCTTAAGGCTCACAGCTGGGACCTCCTCTTCCCCTGACCCCACACAGGTCCTCCCCAACCCAATCCCAGACATGTTCAGGCAGAAGGTCTTGACCCCGGGTCAGTGAGGATATAGAAAGCTGGGGGTCTCATTTGCATGAATGGGCCCTCCCTCTCTCAGAGGATGAAGAGGGGTAGGGACGGATGAAGGGAGACTCTGTTCAGCTGTCAGAACTACAGACAGCAGGATTGATTATGGCCTCCATCATAGCTTTGTCCTCTCTCCTCCTCACCCTGCTGGCTCACTGTACAGGTGACTGGATGAAGGGACAAGGGAAGGGTTCCTGGGAGGACATGTGAACTCTGTTTCCTTTCTTGTCTCTAGATTCCAGCATGACCCTTTCTGTGGCTCTCTCCCTTCCAGGGTCTTGGGCCCAGTCTATGCTGACTCAGCCACCCTCTGTGTCTGGGGCCTTGGGACAGAGGGTCACCATCTCCTGCACTGGAAGCAGCTCCAACATTGGGAGTGGTAATTATGTGAACTGGTACCAACAACTTCCAGGAATATCCCCCAAACTCATCATCTATGATAGTAGCAACCGACCCTCTGGTGTCCCAGATCGATTCTCTGGCTCTAGGTCTGGCAGCTCAGGCACCCTGACCATCACTGGCCTCCACACTGAGGATGAGGCTGATTATTACTGCTCAGCGTGGGACAACAGTCTGAATGCTCACACAGTGCTCCAGTCCTGTGAGGAAGTGAGACAAAAACCTGCTTTCCCCACAGTGATGGTGTTTCCTTGTGCAGTATCCATATTCCACCAAGGCAGTTGCTTCTCTTCTTTTTGCTTGGCCTAAACCAGGTCTGAACCAAACTGAGCGAACTGTCTCTAATATTGTCTTTGTTTCTCAATTCTGTCCCCAAAGTCTGTCCAGGGAGACACATATTTTCTATTGTAGGCAAACTGAGTGGAAAATGTCTAAATGCTGGGGCAGGTTGCCCTGAGAACAGAGCCCCTGAGGATTGTGCTAGTTTGCTAGGGCTGCCATAACAGTATTGCAGACTGGGTGGATAAATCAAAAGATTTTTATTTTCTCACCATTTTGGAGGCTGAGTGTTCAAGTTCAAGGTGACAATAGGGCTGATTTCTCCTGAGTTCTCTCTTCCTGGCTTGTAGATTGAAGCATTATTCCTGGGCCCTCACATAAAATTTCTCTGTGTGTTCACCCCTGGTGTCTCTGCATTTTCTTCTAAAGATACCAGCCTTATTTATTAGGGCACCTACCTTAAAAGCTCATTTATCCATTATCCAATCCCTTAATGCCTTATCTTAAATAAGCACAATACAGGTTAGAGTTATCATTCAGGGTTTTTAGGGGACACAGTTCATTCCATACCAAAGCGTGAAGATAGAACAAGGGACAGAGGATACAGCTATGTCTGATTCAGAATAGTCACCATCCACGTGATATGCATACGTGGCATTTACTGAACCTTCACTGAATTCTGTTTGCGGGTCTAAGGGCTTAGGTCACAGTGCAAAAAAGACAGGAGTGTCCCCATGGTCAGGGAGCTGATAGTCTGGGGGAAGAGGGGATAAGCATACAAACATAGTGTGTCTCACACTTCCTTCCCACCCAGGAACAAAATGACTCCAGTCCCAGAGAAGGACCATACAACAACCCTATGATGAGAGAGACTGGCTCTCAATCATCCATTGATCAGGAACCTCAGCTTTCAGGATGACTGGACAAGATCCCTCCATCTGCCCAGGCAACATCATAGTGACCAAGAAGGGGATTGTCTGATTAGTCTGGATAACACAGGACTTGTCTTCTAGGAACTGTGCTCAGTCACTGACTAATCATACAGTTGGCGTATGTGGGTCCAAATAGAAGAAAAGGATGGAGGTTTCACCAAACAGCTCCTCACCCTCTGCATCCTCTTCCCTCCACCCTCTGTGAAATTCAGGTTGGGACATGGACTGTGGACTTTGGCTGGCCTTTGGGGAGGAGGACGTAGGCCAGGTTGTTCCCATCTCATAAAACTGCAGCTTAACCCCCTGATTAGTCTGATATCCCTGCACCTGATCAATTCCAGGACAAGACACACTCACTCCCAGACACGAGATGAAATGCATGTAGTCCCATGAGAGGTAGAAAGCAGAAAAAAAAATTCCTCACAGGTTGGCCTCCCCTCCCATAAGTAGTTAGGAGGTAAAGAAGTTGCAAGGATCCTCCATGGTGGCCACTTGCTAACCACCCCACACCTGGTCTCCTCTGCTCTTCCTGTCACTCTGCCAGGTGAGGACCAGTCTCAGCAGGCAACACAGGAGCCATTCCTTTTGTCCACACACTCCATAAGGGGCTCTTCTTGCTCCCAGGCTCTCCACAGTCACCTGTGTGTCATTGCTGAGTTTGCCCTCCCTTCCAGGGTCCTGGAGATCACAGTCTGCCAGACTCTGATTTCACCTTGACTCTGCCCCTCTGGGACACAAACTATTAAAAGTCAAAACTGAATCTCCTGGTTTCTCCAACTTTGGACTCTCCTTGTCAGAGTCCTTCTGGAATGTTCTTTCTCTATCCATTAATGACATGCTATGTCTTCTGGCCTAGGGTAATTTCTTTCCCCAGATTCTACTGTATCCTTTATGTTCTCCTTCTCTATCCACCAATCATTTCAAGACCCTAAACTATCACTTCCTCTCCAGTGCCACACCAGAATTTGTGTGGGGTGGACTTCAGGAAAACGTAGGCTCCTCAAGGAAGTTTCCTTCCTAAAACTTATGAAAAATCATTCTGACTTTAAAGATTTCCGACTTTAAATTTTGTGATGTTAAAGATTTCTGACTCACAACAGTGCAACTAAATTCAGTACAGGAATCCTTTCTGTCATTTCAGGGAATAACTTACGAAAGTGCAGGATTGTAAAAAATTGTACACATATCTCTCACACAGAATTTGAACATGTGTCAAAAAATTTACTCAGCTCCCATAGTACTGATACCAGTAAAATGGTCATTTTTTTAAAAGATTGCATTTATTTATTTGACAAAGAGAGAGATAGCTAGAGAGAGAGCACAAGCAGGGGGAGATAAAGACAGAGAGAGAGAGGGAAAAGCAGGCTCCCCACTGAGCAGGGAGCCAGATACAGTGCTCAATCCTAGGACCTCAGAAAAATAATCTGACTCAAAGACAGACACTTAACCAACTGAGTCACCCAGACACCCTGGCAAAGGATTTTAAACAACATTTAAGAATATAGTAATTTTATTCCATTAAAATGAGGCCAAAATATGATGCTTCCTGTATTGGAGATGAGCTGGTTTATTTTAACGAATACAGGTAGGAGCTTTGAATTTATCTTGCACTGTGACAAAAATCATTTACATGATTTCATTAAAGTGAAATCTCCAAAGGAAGCCTTTTAGATGTTGCATTGCCCCATCTTACACATTCCTTCTGATCTCCCCTAAAGAGGATCTATTCTCCCTCCATTCATGTGCCACACAGTGTACCCTGTTTGCCCTCAGATATATGGCTCCATCCTGACTACTTGTCCTGGAGCCTCCATAGATCACACTGAACCAATATACAAGCCCTGACCAACCAAAGACCATCTTCCTGAGTTCCTCAGGCTCTTCCCACCCAGAAGCTCCTTTTTCTGAATGTTCATCCCCTTGTTCCTGAGGCTTGTATTCTCCTGGGTCATGTTATACATCTTTGTCTTCTTCTCTGTATACCCACTTCAGGGATTCTCTACAGCATCACCTCAACCCAAGAGATCTTTGAGTCATTCCCTCATCCCCTCAGTTCTCCTGGTGCCTGATTCTCTTCTTCCTATGATCCCAGGAGCCTCCATTGCTCTGACCCATGAGTACAGTAGTGGGCTCCCTGGTCTCCCTCCCTCCAGTGGTGAAGCTAACTAAGGAAAAAAAAGTCATTCCTGGTCACTTCTGGGAGCTGTTGGTACCTACTGACACCAAACGGCCCCAGTGTTGGAGCTTCATGCGGCAAAGGAGGTGGTGGACAGACTCCTCCTGAAACCAATGAGTAGAGTGTAATGTCTGTTCTGAGAATATGGGAAGCCACATAAAGGGACACCTGGCTTGGCCCTAATGTAGGGGGAAGTAGACTGTAAGGGCCTGGTTGGCCAGAGGGAGCCATTTTGTTGCAGTGAACTTAGATTGACCCTATGCAGTGAACTTAGTTTGACCCTGCGCCTCCCAGAGGAACTTACTCGCAAAGCCTAGATACAAGGGCAGGTTAGGCCAGGTGAAGACATCCAATCAGTGGGGCGCACATATATTTACTGAGGTGAGTTTAAATCCCATTGGCCACCTGTGTGTGGGCAGGGCTCAACCACCCCTATAAAGGTTCATTTGGGAGGCTGAGGAGTCGGAGGAGTAGGAGAGCCGTCGGAGGAGTAGGAGAGCTGTTGGAGGAGTAGGAGAGTTGTCAGAACCAGGAGAGCCATCAGAGCTGTCAGAGCCATCAGATCCGTCAGAGCCGTCAGAGCTGTCAGAGCCATCAGAGCTGTAAGAGCTGTCAGAACTGTCAGAGTCGTCAGAACCACCAGAGCCATCAGAGCTGTAAGAGCCATCAGAGCTGTCAGAGCTTTCAGAGCCACCAGAGCCATAAGAGCCATCAGAGCTGTCAGAGCCGCCAGAGCTGTCAGAGCTGTCAGAGCCATCAGAGCTGTAAGAGCTGTCAGGGCTGTCAGAGCCGACAGCTCTGTCAGAGCCGTGAGAGCCGCCAGCGGCCCCGCTGCCCCAGCTGCAGCCTTGCCGAGCGGCCTTGCGGGAGCAGCGTCATTCCGGGAGCAGCTTCCTCGATGTGAGGCCTCCTTGGTGAGCGGCCTACTCAGGAGCAGCATTGTCTGGGAAGAGGCCTCGTCTGGAACAGCCCCGTCAGGCAACGGCCTCGTCCAGAGCAGCCAAGTTGGGAGCGGCCTTGCCGGGGTTGTCGTCATCACCTTTTTGTAAGAGACAGCCCTGACAGGTCAGTTTGATTCTTGATGCTTGGCGTGAAATAAAGCTTTGCTTGACCTTCGCTTTGTATCAGTCTCACTCCTTTGATCACGGACCCTAATATTGGGGGCTCGTCTGGGATCAAACGACGAGAACTGAGCCCCCATGGGAATTTTGGGGAAGAGCCTTCGGAGGTATTGGGATGTTGGGTATTGGGATGTTGGGTATTGGGATCTTATCTGTCTGTCTGGTTGTGGAGCTCCAGGGTATAGCCCACCGGGGAGAAGCTGGATGCGGCCATGCTCCCCAGGGCTGGAGTGGATGCGGGGATGCCCCATCCCTCTGCTGGTAGATCGACAGGGGGTTCGAGTCCCCCTTGGCAATCGGGGGGTTCGAGTCCCCCTAGACAGTTGAGGGGTTCAAGTCCCCCTAGGCAGTTGGGGGATAAAGAAAGCCCCCACCAGTGGCAGGTTCTGGGTAAGAATCGTTGGGCCTGCGGTTGTCTTTGCCTGGTTCTTTTGTTGTCTGTTGTGTGGTTTGTTGTGTTTGCAGGGGACCAAGAAAGTGCCCACCAGCAGCAGGCTCTGGATGGGGATCGCTGGGTCTGCGGTTGTCTTTGCCTTGTTTTTTTTTGTTGTCTGTTGTGCTGTTTGTTGTATTTGGAGAAATGGGACAAACGGGGAGTAAGGGGCCTGTGACATCCCTAGGTCTTGTTTGTGAACATTTCAAGGATTTTCAAGGTAAAGCCACTCAGTCAGGTGACAAGGTTTACCCGGGAAAATTAAAAACACTCTGCCAATTAGAGTGGTCCACTTTCTCCACAGGGTGGCCGCCGGAAGGAATATTTGCCTTGACTCAGATCTATTCTACCCTGAGTGAGGTCTTTGATCTACATCGAGACCAAATACCGTACATTGTGGCTTGGCGATATCTGATAGAAGAGCTGCCATAATGACTCAAGTCCCACTTTCCCCCTGCTAACGAAACCATCTTTCTCCCTCTAAGGCAGGTCAGAGCACCAAAACCAGAACAGACAGATGAGGGGGAGCCAGGGAAGAAGACCGTTCTACCTCCATCAGATATGGAGGATGTGGAATTCCCCCCCCCCGCCTTATTTGTCCTCTAAATCTGACTCTCGGTCCTGAAATGCCTTTACCAGTCCACCTCATACACGGTCGGGGTCCACCTATGGGACCACCAAGCAGAGAGAACGCCCTGATCCTTCCCCTTTCCTCTATCCCCCTCTGCCTCCCTTTACCTCACTGGTACTGTCCGTGCCAATGCTGCCTCTTCGTGAGGTTGCTCTACCAGATGGGAGAGGGCAGCCCCACCTAAGCTATATCCCTTTCTCCTCTTCTGACATCTATAACTGGAACACCCAACACAAATCCTTTTCTGTCCAACCTCAGGATTTAATTAGCCTCTTGGAGACTGTCTTTCTTGCTTATCAACCTACCTGGGTGGATGTTCAACAGCTCCTTATGGCTCTCTTTAACGGGGAAGAGCAGGATCATATCATGCGAGAAACACATAAGGTGATAAGCGAGAGACTTGGCAGGGACCTCAATCCCCGCCAAATGGAGGACTACTGCCCGAGGGAACCCCCCGACTGGGATCCGAACTCTGATGAAGGTAAGGAGAGCTTACGTTTCTACCACCAGGCTCTACTGGGAGGCCTCTGTGCAGCTGCAAGGAGACCCATAAATTTATCTAAAATTAGTATGGTGACTCAAGGTAAGAATGAGTCTTCAGGAGCTTTCCTAGAAAGGCTAATTGAAGCCTATAAAATGTATAGCCCGATCGACCCTGAGGCACCCGAAAATCAGAGGGCAATGAATCTTGCATTTGTCAGTCAGTCAGCCCCAGATATAAGGAGGAAACTTCAGAAAATTGAAGGATTTGAAGGGAAGAATCTGACTGAGTTAGTGGGAATAGCAGAAAAGGTGTTTAACAACAGGGATACACAAGAGGATGAAAAACAGACAAAAAAAACTGGTTAAGGTTTTGGCATTACATGAGGCAGAGAGGATACGGGTAGGGGATAGTAAATGGAAGGAAAAGCCTAAGCACAGAGAA